GTACAGTGTTCAAAAATAAATGTTATTATTATCATCATTAACAATTATTAGTATTACTATTAACAATATTAAAACCCCTTTCCCCATTATTGGCAATCTATAAGCCAATAATAATAATAATTAAAAAAAAACCTTAGCAGGGTATTTACTAAAAAATTGTACCACCACGTCCTTAAAAAACAAAGTAAAATGACTTCTCTAGGCAAATAGTCTCAGTGTTTGTGTCAATTTAATCCATGCACACTGACATTGATATATTTGGTCTGGGCTTCCAGCAATCGGTTACCTCTGATCATGAAGGAGTTAATACAAAGCAGTCACAATGAAAGGCGTGCTGTTAAATATATAAATATAACATAAAAAATTACTTCAAGATTAACATGCTACAGTAACACAAAATGTAACACTCACTGAAATGACACTATACTATCTATTTAAATGCTCTTGCAGGCAGCGGGTGCCACCCAAGCAATCAATAGAACTGAACAAAGACTGCAGTGCAGAGAGCAGACTGACATAACTTTTGGCATTAGTTTTAGCAGTATGCAGCAGAATGCAAATGGCCTGTCAGAGAGCACTTGGCAGCAACCTCCGCCCAGCACTTGCTTTTGGTAGTCATATACAATAACGGTAAAGGGAATGCTAGTGCAAAGTTCACCTAATTCCAATTCTTGATGTGAATTTCACATTTGTACTTATTCTCACGTAATAAAATAAGTGCACCTTTTAAACAAAATGCACTTTCAAACCGCTACCCACTCCTGACCTAAACTACCGCACCATTTCCAGATGTATACTTACTTACACCGTGTGGCCTTCTGCATTTCATTGCATTGGTCCTGATAAACGTTGTTTGCACCGTTGGATTTGCTTCCCATATACTACTATGGGACCCTCTCCCAAGCATCTCCAGCTTTGTAGCATGGACTTATAGAAGTCTAGGCAAAGCAAGACCAAGGGTGCCCAAACATATGGCTGTAAATGTTAATATATGACTGTTACATAGTCGAGTTGAGAAAAGACCATCGAGTTGAACCTATAAAGATGTAGACTATTAAAGTTCATTTAAATACTATGTGACCTTTCATTTGCAATGTACTGTGTATCATAAATATCATCACCTTTTTTTTCATACAATACAGTTTTACCTGGGCAGCATGTGTTGGTATGGTCACTTGCAGTCTACATTAGGCGTGCAGCTACTTACACTTGTAATATGGTGACAAGACAGGATCACAACTGGGAGACAGTTGTCGCCCTATAACAGGAAGTAACTAAACAAGAAGCTATATGACAGGATAACTCAATATTCTTTTAATGAAAACTGCATATTTAAAGTGGAACTGATGACAATTCTTTTCAGTTTTGGAAAGAGTGGAGAGGCATTAGGAGACCTGTCATGTTTCTATTGCTGTTTGTGTCCCAGTTAGGGAGATTTCCCCCCTCTATTTGAGATTTTCGTGATTTGGGTTTAGATCTAGTTTAATGTTTTACAATTCTGCATCTGCTCTGTAAATATTTGCAAATGGCGGCAGCCATATTGCCCACTGTGCATACATTCTCTGCTCCCTGTTTCATAATACTGCAAGGTGGCTGTGCCCAATTCTTCTTGGCTCTTAGTGAAAGTCAGTGGAATAAGGCCTAACCTAATTAAAATGAAGATACTCTATAGGGCTTTGATTGTGGGATTGGATTGTAATGTGAGTGGGGTCCGCCTGAACGCCTTGCCTTGTTCTCTCTGCAGTGTCTGGACAAAGTGAAGGAGAGTTTCCGTGTAGTGGAGTCTCTTCTCACGGAGAAATCTGTTACTCAGCTAGAGAAAGATTTCTTCTCCTGTGCAGCTCTGCACCCACCCGAAGACTACATGGAGTTTGTCAGCAACCTGGCCGATATATTCATGGGCGCTGTCCAGTACAACAATGAGTCTCCGGGCAGTGACGTCAGGAAAATCTGTGAGCGTATGATCTCAGCAAGCTCTGCCTATGAAGGACTGAAAGCTGTAAACTCGGTGAGTGCGCTGTAAATGCTGATGATGGCAGACAATTTTAGATCTGAACACCAGACACAAGACTTTTTATACATCTGTATAGACCGAATGACCTTAAAGTAGGATCTATTCACTGATTGATGTAACTGTAGAGATGGATTAAGGCAGTATGGGGCCCTATGAACACCTTTAGCTCCCACCACCCTACCTCTACCACTATGCCTTCAATTGATATTGCATGTAGGATCTCCAGCAATCCAACCCTCACCTACTATGAGCTGTCTGGGTTTAGTGAGTACCTGAGGTCTATACTGTATATTGCCTTACTGTCACACAGTTGCAACATGTATGATTCTAGACACGGGAGGGAAGGGTAGAGAGACTGTGCTATTGCATCGGGTGGCCCCAGCTCGCACTCTACTTGTGGTTCTTGGACTGCTTGATACACTCCTTATGAAGGAGCTAACATATGCAGCCTGGAATCATGTTCTTTTCTGATCTTAGAATTTGTTCTGTCCTCAGAGTCTCTGTGTTTATGATCATGCTCCTAGTACTGCTTTGTTACAAACCTGAGGCATGCAACTGTAGAGATGGATTAAGGTAGAATGGGGCCCTATAAAAGGCAACACCTTTACCCAGCACCCTACCTCTACCCATATCTCTTCAATTGATATTGCATGTAGGACTAGTTTTAGGACAGTTCTCTAGTAATGTAGGATTAAAAGGGAGCATATCATGGGTTGGGGAAGGTCAGGCAAGGGTGTGACAGGGCAGTGGTTTTATTACCTCCCTTAACACCCTTGCTCAGATGATTTATGGCTCCTCATTACCTAGGGCAATAGCAGGCCTTCTCTGCTATACCATCCAACACCAACTGTTGCCACCAACACAGCTGCTTCCAGAGCTTCACCTGCAATGGCCAAAACTGGTAGCCACATTACTTGTGTGGTGCCATTATCTTTAAGGCAATATAAGGCCTCTTTCAGCTTTCAAGAGCACCCTATTATTCTATAGCTAATATTGTATTTATTTGTTACTAGAAAGCAAGGTGTGGGTTGTACAGAAGTGAAGGCAAGGATACTCACGGCACATCACCCAAAGAGGGTATATACCCCGGGTGAGGTGCTGAAAGGGTTGTAGGCAAGTATAGCAGTCTGTGTTGGAAACCAGCATACCAACGTCCCAAGTGTGCAGCATCAATATCAATATGGGTAGTGATGTTGCCAGTGGCCATTCCAGAACTGAAATGAGAGCAATCAAGAGCTTACAAATGGGTACTGTTTGATGGGATAGCTAGAGGAATTGCAAGGTTTTTTTTGAGGGATGTTCAGTGGAATGCCAGAAACACCAAAAATTGGCAATACCATGATAATGGTTATTGTAGTATTTATAGGACTGAGCTGATATGAGTATGATATCTAAAAGTGCATGGGGATGGGGAAACATTCACCCCAAGCTACTGCTTTACAGGGAATGGAAGAAACTGCCCTGCAAACATTGATTATGTGGCTGTTTGATAAAAACTGGAACAAAACAGAGCAACTTGTATATTTCATAATTGAATAATTGCAAAAAATAACTGTAAGAGTCTTACTTTTCCAGATTTACATGGAATTCATGGGGCTAAAGTGTGTGGAAAACTCCCATAATAAAAGTTTATCAGACTTGAAAAAAACAGAGCTGAGCCCAGTTGGGGTTGGGGAGCGGCAGTGGTATTACCAAACATGCACGGAGTTTGGATACTGTAAGTGCTCAGCATTAATGTACACAAATCTCTAATTATTGCAGCCTGTAGTGATTCTATTTTTCACTGTACCCCTCCTTCCCCCCCACAGATCAGACCTGCGATCATGCTTCTTGTCCTTTCTCTCCCCGAATAACCCTTCAGTTCCAGCTGGACATCTGCAAAGAAGTGTTCCAGATCCCAACAGAGTCCGTCTTGCAAGCTGTCCAATTCACCAATGAATATTATGGGGCCGATCACCCAAAATCCAGCCGCATAATCTTCGTTAATGGTAAATCAATTTTCAGACTGGTTAAGGATGACGCAACTTGAAACAAACTTCAGCTTTTGTTGAGGGAGGAAAAAGAGTCAAGGGTTTTACCAGACCCTTATCTGATTCTGTTGTGGATATTTAGGCAGGCAATACCATTGTACTTCTAAAATTTAAAATGAGATCTTAGTGGTAAGTTCTGCCTTTACTATAATCACATGATCAATCCAAGTGCGGCAAAAGGAAAGAATGCATTCCCTTCACCTATAGTCATGCATCACCCTATGCTGTGAACAGTAAACCTAAGGACGTTATTGGGGATCTCTTGCTCTATGCACAGCTTGCCTCTTATTTGACATCAGATTTGTGGGACAGATAGAAAGAGGGGATGAGTATCTTGCAGAATCCTATAGTACTGTTACCATGGTTGCAGGGAAAGGATGCATAGAACATGACTGGCTAAGAATTCAAGTTATAATTAAATTTGTTGGCAAGTCATGCATATGCTGCTTGCTGCTCACTATTCAACCAGCCCTCAAATTCCACTTTTAAACAGGATCAAGTTCCCTCTGGTCACTCATGCTTCAATTTTCCCAGATCACAGCTGTGGCATTGCTGATAAGACAGACCCCATCTGAATATATGCATAACGCCAACTTGCTGAGCAATGTGTTCATATTCAGAAATCAGCAGCATAGTGATGTACTGCAGAAGGAGCTTGACAGAATAGCATTACATCCTATACATTAAATAGAATACTGTTTGACAGAAGATCGACGGAGAAGGATTTGACAATACTTGCTAACAGTAAGTTAAGCAGGACCACTCAACGTTAAGCATAAGCTGCAGAACAATGTTGGATGTATGCAGGATACAAACAGGATGTTAATACAGCATTTTTTTTTTTAAAATAAATCACTTGAAAGGCCATATCTAGTGTTTGCTCTGGACCAAAGCTGCAGCAGTTGTGAGAGGTTGCTGATGGACATTTGTCTTATTATGTAACTTATGTACATATACAATAGTTCCAATTTGGCATTAAAAATGCATATTCTAAAGTATCCAGCAAACGAATGTTGAAGCAACCATGTAGCCAAAACCCGCCTCAAATGTCAGAATCCAGGACGTCCCGATGTGTTAAATGCCTGCATACCTCCGATTCATTCTGTAGTTCCACCACACAGAAGTGCAAGCAAGCATCCAACACACCTAGAAGTGTTCAATGCTGCAGAGCTACATGCTATATAGGCTAGTAGGATCTTCAAGAAGATAGCGAAGACTGGAGTGACAGGCAGAGGGACTGGTATTGTTAACATTTATTTGAAGGCTTTTTGTTTTGCTACAAAGTGTAGAAACATTTCAAAAATACAGTTGTTTTTTTTTTTTTTTCGTCCATTCCGGGACATAGGAACTTTTCAATATTCAGGTTATACTGTCGCCTACAGGAGGACTGGACTGTAGCAAACAAGAACTGTAGTCCAGCCCAGTATAACCCCTCCTGCTACCAACATGGCTCCATTGTTTCCTACTGTCCTAGGACAGTGATGGCGAACCTTGGCACTCCAGCTGTTTTGGAACTACAAGTCCCATGAGGCATTGCAAGGCTCTGACAGCCACACACAACTCCCAGAGGCAGATGCATCTTGGGATTTGTAGTTTTGGCACGGCTGGAGTGCCAAGGTTCGCCACCACTGTCCTAGGAGGATGGGTGTATTTTCTCACAGCTCTGCTGTTTTAAGACTAACTTATTTTTTTGCTAGCTCATTTTTTTTTCTTGTTTTTTTTTTTTCTTCGGTGAAGACACTTTACAGTGCTGTGGGAGCGTCATCCTTTTCAATTGCAGCTTTCCAGCAGGGTTTCCTCAGCTCATCTTTTGGAGTTCTGTGTCCAAACCCTGTTGGACTGGACGTTGTGCGGCTAGCCTGGAAGTGACCTTCAGGCTCTGGTTTCCACATAGTATGCCTTCCAGACACCATTCTGGTGAAAGTTAACTGTGGAGTGCTTTCCTGACTTAGAACCTTTTGGCTTGGCCTCAGTGCTTGCCCTTTCTCTGAAGACTTACCTAGTGCGTAGTCCAGTCAGTCTGAGAACTAGGAGCTACCTCTTTTTTTAGGTCACCTGGCATCTCTGATCTTTGCTCTCCCTGGTTTTGCTGCAGAAGGGGTTAACCATGTGGGTGATGTCATCTGCTGGGTAGATTATTGTACATGCTCGGCGATCTCTTTTCAGCCATACAGCATTGAGGAAGCATTTCCTCCGCTGCTGCTCCTGCTTGAAAAGAGCCACATGGAACTTCAATCTTGATCCATTCCTGCTGCCCGCCTATAGTGATTTTGGTCACCTCTAGCCATCCAATCCTCACCTACTATGACCTGTCCAGGTTTAGTGAGTACTGAGGTCTATAATGCATATCGCCTTACCGCCACACAGTTGCAACATGTCCGATTCTAGACACGGGGGAGGGTAGGGTAAGAGACAGTCCTATTGCACCAGGTGCCCCCAGCTCGCACTCTACTTGTGGTTCTTGAAGTGCTTGCAGCATGCCTTAAGACAGTGCTGACATATGCAGCCTGGAATCATGTTATCTTCTGATCTTATAATTTGTCCTGTACTCTTCTTAATGACACACATTCGTATATTGTATTGATGCAAGATCTTTGTACTTACCTCTATTTCACATTTTAATCTAATGTCCCTTATACCTTTATTACTAGGTGATGTCGATCCTTGGCACGCACTCAGTGTGCTGAAGAATCAGTCTCACTCAGAAATTGCCATCTTCATCAACGGAACAGCCCACTGTGCAAACATGGGTCCATCACGTGCCACAGATCCTCCGTCTTTACAGAAAGCCAGAGAGGTGAGGAAACGAACATTGTTTTTTGACCCAATCCTCAGTTTCGTACATAATTAAAAAGGAACTCTAGTAAACACTAGTGCTTCTTAACTGCCTGCATAAGAACCCTAATGTGTGTCAAAATGAAGCAACAACATTTTCTGTGAAAGCATTTATAGCTAATGACAGGCAAGTCAAACCTGTCGTCTTTCAGTTGGGTGAGATCTTCTTCCTATATCTTATCAGCTTGTAGCCACAGTGAAAATTGTAAACTGCATGTTTTGTAGCTCAATAAGTTTATGATCTGTTCCATCATTTTTCTGAACCCTTATCATGCAACAAATATTGCACTCTAGTTGAAGTTAGTAATCCACAAAATGATTTTCAATTTGTCTATAAGTCAAGGTGCTGCCTTCAGTATAGCTAATTTATCTTCTGGCAGATCTAGGGCCATAGCACACTACAGATCCTGTTTTCAATTAAATGAACATCTGAGTTAATCTTCATTTATTTTCTCCCCTGCAGGAAATCGGCATGAAACTTGGAGAGTGGTTAAAATCTGCTCGCGAGGAGTCTTAGCCCATCTTATGACCTATACTATTTTAACAAGACAATGGAGCGCCCAAAGAACATTTTTGCTTGCACTGGAAATCGTTCAAAACCAGCACTGACTAGTCAGTCTGCCATAAATATTTTTTTAGATTTATAAAGGATATTTCCATCTAGAAGCAATCATTCCATAGAGGTAGGGGGGAGTCGGCTTTAGGCAGAGCAATATTGGCTTTTGCCTCTCCAAAATTTAAGGTGACACTAAACTCAGGAATTAAATCTTAAAAATACATTCAAGCACCTTAACTATTAACAAAAATGTATCGTATTTGTGTATCACTCGGCTGTAGATCCTCAAATCCTCTCTGAATTGGTGCTGACACTGTCCTTCCTTCTGGAGGATGGCTACTTTGGTTCCCCATGGTCCCTGTGTGTGTTATGAAGTAGTCACCGCACCAAGATCACTCCCATGATGGGTTTCAATCTCACTACAAATTATTAAACTAAACATGAGATTGTAGTCCATCACGAGAGTGAGCTTGGAGCGGTGACTACTTTACAACACACACAGGTACCATGGGGAACAAAAGTAGCCCCTCTCCAGAAGGAAGGACAGTGTCAGCACCAATTCAGAGATGATTTGAAGATTGACAGCCCAGTGATGCACAAATAAGATACATTTTTGTAGAGTTTTAAACAATATATATCCAACTCCCTCCAAAAAATGAATGTATTGCTATCAACTGGAAGTGTTCTTTATGGAGATTGTGCAATAATGCTAGATTTTACCATATCGTATTTTGTTTTATGTACCTCCAGCTTTTCTGATGGGACAGCCAAAGGAAATATGTAATTTAAAAAATGTATTTTTTAATTTGGATATGTAAACTGACAACTGGTATGTCTGCGTAAGTTGAAATCATTGCCATCATGATTGACATCTTGTCAATCATGATGTCAATTTTGTTATCTGACATGATGTCAGGCATCCCAACCTGAAAGAATTAATTTCAAGGAGGTGCCCTCTCCTCCCCTCCAGCCGTGGAGGGGGGGGGGGGGGAATATAAGGGAGAGAGCACCTCCCTGAAATGATGGCAGATAGCAGAGAAGCTAATGCTTCCCTTGCTATTTGCTTTTTATATTCTGACAGGTCCTGCCAGAGGAGTGAAAAAAACCCCAAAATAACAAGACAGTATGGGAATAAATGGCTAGATTGCTATTGGCTATTTCAATTTACACTAGCCAATAGCAAGTTGACTATTGCTCCTGCCCACTGCTGTTGTCAATTAGCGGTGGAGGACCTGATGGAGAACTTCAGGTCCATCTCTGCTGATTGACAGCAGCCATGGGCAGGAGCAATAGCCAGGCTGCTGTTGGCTATTGTAAATAGAAATAGCCAATAGCAATCTAGCTATTAATTTCCATGCTGTCTTTTTCTTTTCTTTTTTTACTCTGGTTATGCATAGTAATAATAATAAAAAAAAAAAACACAACGCAGGGAAAGGTTTACTCTAGCAGAGTAAACCTTTCTGGGATAAAATGTTTCTCTCCCGGACATCCGGGAGCCGCTACCTTATAGTGGGAGACTCCCGAATCGTCTGCGGTGTCAATGTGCTAAAAGATAATAGATGATTGTTTAGCAGAAGACATCAATAAGCCACTCATTTGGCTGTATTAAATAATGTTCCGTAAAAAAAGCAATGATGTGCAGAAACCCACAACAACCAATCAGAATTAAGATGTTAACGTGTATAAAGCAATGGAAGTATCTTGTTTGGTGATTTCACATTTTTATTCAAAAAGCCCAAATGTATCATAACTGTTTACACTTCTTTAAATGTGACTGTTGTGCTTGCACAGTTTTTTTAATCTTCTTGACTTTTATGGTCCTTGATAAAAATTAAATGTTTAGAAAAAAAAGCTTATTAAACTTTTTTTAACAAAGTGTGTCGTGTCTGATCATGTCGAGTAGCTCAGTAACTATCCTTGTGCTAGAGACAGGTGCTGGATTTGGGAAAAGTAAGATGAGTCGGGGCCTAAATTTCTATGATTTTAGGAGCCAGACCTTCCTTTTTTTTTTTTTTTTT